ACACACACACACACACACACACACACACACATATATATATATATATATATGAATAAATTTACTCTTAAGGTGTGCTATATTTATGGGATAAAGTGCTCAATATCAGAGATAGAGCGTGTGCAAATATAAAAGTGAACATTGAAGTCAACACTTAGAGGCGACAGTCTGTTTCATGCTATATGCAATCGTCAGGCCACGATTGCATCTAGTATGAAAACAGTGGTCGCCTATAAGGGTTGACTTCAATGTTCACTTATATATATATATATATATATATATATATATATATATATATATATATATATATATATATATATATATATATATATATATATATATATATATATATATATATATATATATATATATAAGTGTGTGTATATGTATGTTTCTGTGAGTCTGTGTGCGTTTGTGGAGGTGTAAAGATGATAGTCACAGAAATGTCATTGCACGTGTAAAAGGAAGTAAAAGAGACAGATTTGAAAGGTCATACATCGTCGATGTGCTTTTGTTATTTATACGACTATATTTGCCAGACGTTCCTAGAGAAAAGAAAACTTTTCGTTTGTAGACGGCGGAGGTGACGAGAATAAAAAGTCGATATTTTACAACGGCGTGGACTACAAACGATTGGGAGGCAAGCAAAACGAATCACCACTCACCGTACCAAAGATGAGTGTTCCTCGCCCACCCACAAAGGAAAGAAGGTCGATACTGCAGAGATGGCGCAATTGGAAATCAATCCTCCCATTATAGTATCCTTCTTGTGAAGCTCGAAGTAGCTTCACTCGAAGACGGCTCAAAAAACATGCGTACCTATAACCACGATTTTAGAATGATGCTAAGGGCCATTTTGATCGTAGAAAATTAGCCGCGGTTCACAAGAATAAATTTTTAGAGGAAATTACTGAGTATGTGTGACATAGAAACAGATATATATATATATATATATATATATATATATATATATATATATATATATATATATATATAATATATCCATGGCTATAATTTATTAAACTTATTCCATCCTAAATTTATTACATGATCGAAATCAAAAATTCATCAGACCTACAAATTCAAAAGGGAAGCGGAAAATATAATTCTGGGTATATAAAAAAAAAACTCTTTTTGAATTTGTCGGTCTGATGAATTGGATCGTGATTACGATTCCAATGTAATAAATTATAATCATGGAATATTAGTGTTTGAGCCTTTTATATTATATTCTTTCTCTGTCTTGGACATTAAGTTCTACCTGGATTCTATCCTCTTGGGAATATATATATATATATATATATATATATATATATATATATATATATATATATTGACCACTAATATTATCTATCTATCTATATATATATCTATCTATCTATCGATCTATCTCTCTCTCTCTCTATATATATATATATATATATATATATATATATATATATAGATAGATAGATAGATAGATAGATAGATAGATAGAAAGAGAGATAGATAGAAACAGATAGAGAGAGAGAGAGAGAAATACAAAAAGATATATAGAGAGAGGGAGATAGAAACAGAAAAAGGGAGGAGGGAGATAGAAACAGATAGTGAGAATGATATAGAAAGATATATATATATATAGAGAGAGGGCAATAGAAACAGAGAGAGAAAGAGAGGGAAATAGAAAACGATATATAGAGAGTGGAAGATAGAAACATAAATGGAAAAGTGAGATATGAACATGTATAGGGAGAGTGACAGTTAGAGAGAGAGAGAGTAAAATATAAACATATATAGAGAGGAGTGTGACAGAAACAAAGATATATATAGAGAGGGAGATAGAAACAGATATATATAGAGAGAGGGAAATAGAAATAGATATAGAGAGAGGGAAATAGAAAAGATATATAGAGAGAGGAAGGTAGAAACAGATATAGAGAGATGAGGCAGATAGAAACAGGTATATATAGAGAGAGGGAGATAGAAATAGATATAGTGAGAGGCAAATAGAAACAGATATATTTATAGAGAGAGAGGGAGATAGAAACAGATATATAGGGAGAGGCATGGCGAGAAAAGTCTTTCTTTTTCTTTTCTTTTCCTCCAGCTATTTCAATGTTTAGCCTTCAATCTTCTCCGTGAATATTGGCCCTCAATGTTCAGCCCGCTTTGTCCCCACCCGGTGTATACTCTGCCATAATATATGACGACACCATCGCAAATTACGCAGGCTGTCACGCAAACAATGAGACTTTGACCACAAGTAGTGAGACTTTGACCACAAGCAGTGAGACTTTGACCGCATGCAGTAAGACTTTGACCACAGACGTTGAGAGTTGATATTTACGGCACGGGTTTTGAGCAAGTTGAATGCTTAAGGGTTAAAATGATTAATTAGATAAAAAGGCTGTGAAATAATTGTTGAAGAAAGTCGTGCTTTCATAAAATTGAATTTTTCGTACGCACTCAGTCGGAGCATTTAATTTGATCAACATAAAAAAAATGATCATTTTGAAAACCCCATGGGTCATACTGGTTATTCTTGAGGGCTGCATGCAGTCGGCTGACCGCTTGTTGTGCAGGCCTGTTATAGTCACTTATATTTTAGCAATTACTAAGAGGAGGATTTCTCATTATTATAAAACAATTTAATCGAACTGTTGCCCTAATTTTATTCAACTGTTTTATCCTCCAACCTGCTGGACTCTGTAACATTTACAGAATTTCAAATCAAACACTTTATTCAATCGACACCGTCTGTTGTTAACAAACATGTCTGTTGCTATAGTTCTTATCGCTGAAAATTAACTGCGGGTAAAATAGAAAATCGACGTGAGATAGAAATGTTATTAGTCTATATCTCTGAGATGAGGTATTATGATTTATTTTAGAGGGTGTGATAGACGGACTAACGGACGGGAGTCACAGCATTTTATATATAGATTTGGTCTCTGGAATTGTTAATATTTTTTCAGAGGTATGGTTTTTAACCCACATTCGTCCTCCTACCCACAGATAGAGAGAGAGAGAGAGAGAGAGAGAGAGAGAGAAATACAAAAAGATATATATAGAGAGGGAGATAGAAACAGAAAAAGGGCCTTTCTTTTTATTTATCTTCATTTTCTATAGCTGTTTTTATCTGTTCTTCGCATCTATAGCTAGAGACGATTCTCATTTTACTTGACAATGTTAAGGAATATCTGAGGTTAGTCAGTTATCTGTACAGCTCACTACTATAATATTAACAGCTAGATGTTTTATTTTCAATGCTATGTTCCTTCAGGCAATAGGTGATCATGGACCTCCACGCATTCCATTTCTTTATTTAAAATGAATTGACATTCTTTCTTTGGAAAGATATTGGAGTGGTTTCCCCTTTCCTTCAGCATTATTCTGTATTCAGAGTAGTCCTAGACCAAGGTTACAGAGCCCAGTTTGCCCTACTATTTAACCTTTAGCTGGAGGGAAGAGAGATTAATTCATGCCTTTTGCAAAGAAATGAAAAAAATTTTGACATGAATTTGAACTCGGCATGCTGATTTTAATTATCATACTGATAACCATTACACTACCTGCACATCCGAGGCCAGCTAGACCAGCTTTAGTTAATATAACTTCCCAATTGTTATTTACTTATTTTAACCTTGTTTGGCATAAAGGCAATAGAGATGGGCACCCAGTGAAGATCAAACTCACTAAATGGTAGTAAAGATCTGCAAGACTTGCTTAATCTTACATCATACTTGAGGGTGGCATACAGCTCACAGACTGCAGTTTCTGCAAGCCTGTTATTGTTGCTAATATTTTAGCAATTTCCGAGAGGAGGGTTTATCATAATGAAATAATTTATTCAAACAGTTGCCCTAAATTTTGCTTCAACTGTTGTACCCGTCAACCTGCTGGATTCTGTAACATTTTCAGAATTTCAAATCTAACACTTTATTCAATCTATAGCAATAGATAGTTCTCATTTTACTTGACCATGTTAAAGAATATCTGAGGTTAGTCAGTTATCTGTTCAACTCACTACTACAATATTAACAACTAGATGTTTTATTTTCAATGTCATGTTCTTTCAGGTAATAGATGATCATGGACCTCCACACATTCCATTTCTTTATTTCAAATGAATTGACATTCTTTCTTTGGAAAGATATTGGAGTGGTTTCCATTTTCCTTGAGCATTATTCTGAATTCAGAATACTCCTCCTTCTCTTCCTCATTTGACTGCCATTCAGAGAGTTAACCCTTTAGCATTCAACCCACCTGATAAATATTGACCCCTAATGTTCAACTCACCCTAACCCGCCTCATGTATACTTTTGCCATCATATATATATATATATATATATATATATATATATATATATATACAGAGAGAGAGAGAGAGAGAGAGAGAGAGAGAGAGAGAGAGAGTATAGAAACAAGCCTATAGAGGAATGGTGAGATATGTCTTTCTATTTTCCTACAGAAAGTTAACCCTTTTGCATTCAACCCGCCTGATAAATATTGACCCCCTAATGTTCAACTCACCATAATCCGTCTCGTGTATACTTTGCCATCATATATGATGACGTCATCACATATAAAGCAGGAAATCAGACAAAGAGAGGGGGGCATTGAGAGCCGATATTTACAGGAGTGTGTTTGAGTGTGTTGAATGCTAAAGAGTTAAAAGGATTAATCAGATACAAAGGCCGTGAAATATTAGTTGAATAAAGCGATGATTCCCCAAAACTGAATTTTTTTGTATGCCCTCTGTCACCAAATTTATTCTGATTAACAAAAAAAAATGACTATTTTGAAACCCCCCATAGATCATAATGGCTATTCTTGAGGGCTGAACGCCTTTTGTGCAGGCCTGTTATAGTCGCTCATATTTTAGCAATTTCGTAAAGCACGATTTATCATCATTATAAATCAATTTATTCAAACTGTTGCCCTAATTTTGCTTCAACTGTTTTACTCTCGAACCTGCTGGATTTTGTAACATTGTCAGAATTACAAATCTAACACTTTATTCAATGGACACGAAAAAAGATAACCGTCTGTTCTTAATAAACTTACCATCATATTTGTTGCTATTGTTCCGACCGCTGAAAATTAACCGCGGGTAAAATAGCAAATAGGCGTGAGATAGAAATGTTATTAGTTTATATCTTTGAAATGAGGTATTATGATTACTTGCATTATTTACTTTATTCGGTAGTGGCTGACCACCTATGGCGGGAAAAGGGAGATCACCGCCCTCTGTGGGAATGAGGTTGAAATAATAGCCAGAGAGCATTACTGGAAAATATGAAAACGTAAGGAATCAGCACATATGCTAGGCCACAAAAATCTTCTGAGCCGAATACAATATGGGAACCAGTAATAAGGAGTGCTAAGGAAAAAGCAATGAATAACAAAAAATTTGCAATATAAGATCTGGTAAAAAATGCAATACTAATAACAGAAAAAATTGCAATATGAGCACTGGTAAAAAAATGATGATGAGACGTTAGGTATAAAAGTCCTCGAAATCTATACACAGATCTCCTCAAGGACACCAGGCCCAGTGCGTAAAGACGTTGGTTAGATCTAGTGACTAGACCCAAAGATTTCAATACCAGGCCATAGCAATGGTGAACCAAATTTTGGAGAGTTGAATTAAAGAGAAATAAGTGATTTGCAGGCCGGGAACACTAGAATCAAGCAGACGAAGAAGTTTAAACATCTGGTAAACGTCTTGACAGAAGACGGTTAGTGTGACACTGAGATCTGCGGACGTATTGGGATGGCCAAGGACACATTCCAAAAGCTGGGCAGAGTACTGCGAGACAGGAGGATTTCTTTGGTAACAAAGAAAAAAAATACTGAACTGTTACGTGACATCTGTTTTTCTTTACAGCAGCGAATGTTGGACGATTTCCTCAAAGATGAAGAAGAGACTCGAGGCGACGGAGATGTGGTTCTACAGAAGGATGCTAAGGATATCATAGACCGAGCGTGTGAGCAACGATGTGATCTTAGAGAAGATGCAAACAAGGAGGAGGCTTATACTTATAGGCTCAGGAAGAAGCAGATGAAATTTCTGGGACACATAACGAGGAAGGAGGGCCTGGAGAATCTGATACTCACGGGTCGAATATAGCGAAAGAGAAACAAAGGAAAGCAACGCATGATATACTTAACGGCTTTAAGCAAGCGGATGACAGAACGTGGTCTGGGGGAGGTGGTAGAGGGAAGGAACTTGTTGAGAGCGGCAAGAGATAGAAGGAGGTGGAGAGCCATGATCGTCTACGTCCTGAAAAGACATGGCACATAAAAAGAGAAGGATGCCAGGCCTCAACAAAACAGACATTTCCGTACGCGACTTGTCGCCTTATTGATTCCGACGATCACAAGAACTGACTATTGTGAAAACCCTTCGCGTGGCACAGTGGGTGGTATCGTGAACTGCATGTTTCCCTAGTTTGTTTGTCAGATGCTGAGCCGTAACAAGGGAAATAACCCCGTAAGAAGCGAGACTAGTTAACCATCAATTTACACCAAGAGCATCCGATTCTCTATTCAGTACTTACCAAACTTATCTTAGACCTGCCCAACAGCACATCTATGTATATAGTACCGACTGAGGTTCGATCTCTGTTATATAGGAATAAAGCGTCGTTCCGATACTGGAGTTTGAACACAGATCGCCAGAGAGCAAACAAAGACGATCCCATTTTGAATAAGTAGATCACATGATAGCAAAGGAAATGTATATAAGGGAATTAGCTTAACGTCTAAACGATCACTGTTTCTATTCTATCCTCTATTACTATACGGATCACTATTTCTAGCCTATCCTCTATTACTATACGGATCACCCTATCCTCTATTTATACTACTATTTCTAGCCTATCCTCTATTACTATACGGAACACTATATCTATCCTCTATTACTATATGGATCACTATTTCTAGCCTATCCTCTATTACTATACGGATCATTTCTAGCCTATTATTACTATACGGGATCACCATTTCTAGCCTATCCTCTATTACTATACGGATCACCATTTCTAGCCTCTATTACCGGATCACCATCTATTACTATCCTCTACTATACGGAACACTATTTCTAGCCTATCTATCACCTTTCTAGCCTCCTCTATTACTATACGGATCACCATTTCTTCCTCTCTTACTATACGGATCACCATTTCTAGCCTATCCTCTCTTACTATACGGATCACTTTCTAGCCTATCCTCTATTACTATACGGATCACCATCCTCCTCTATTACTATACGGATCACCATTTCTAGCCTATCCTCTATTACTATTGCGGATCACCATTTCTATCCTATCCTCTCTTATACGATCACCATTTCTATTTTACTATACGGATCACCATATCCCTATCCTCTATTACTATACGGATCACCATTTCTAGCCCTCTATTACTATACGGGATCACCATCCTCTATTACTATACGGATCACCATTTCTAGCCTATCCTCTATTACTATACGGAACACCATTTCTAGCCTATCCTCTATTACTATACGGATCACCATTTCTAGCCTATCCTCTATTACTATACGGATCACCATTTCTAGCCTATCCTCTATTACTATACGGATCACTATTTCTAGCCTATCCTCTATTACTATACGGATCACCATTTCTAGCCTATCCTCTATTACTATACGGATCACCATTATCTAGCTATCCTCTATTACTATACGGATTTCTAGCCTATCATTACTATTTCTCACTATTTCTAGCCTATCCTCTATTACTATACGGATTTTCTAGCCTATCCTCTATACGGATCACCATTTCTAGCCTATACTATTCACTATACTATTTCTCTATGCTGATCTACACGGATTACTCTTCGGATCACTATTCGGTGGTTACTATTCGAGTGAGTATTATCGCGCAGGTACTACTCGTGATATTCGAAGGCGTCTGACGTCAGTATTGTTCAACAACGTTACTATAGTTGTATCTGAGATTACAAAGTCTCTACTACAACGAGCATTACAAAAGTGACAATGAGTATTCGTTGACATTACAAAAGTGGCAACGAGTGTGCGTTGACATCAAAAAAATCCCCATAAGCCGTATCAACAGTCTTCTAGAATAGCTCGTTTGCCATAACAACTCTGTGAATTGTCCCACCATTTATGTATTAGGTTTAGCATAGATTAGCGCAAAGTTACATATACGAAGTAGTGAGGATTGAATTTAATACGCTGCAGTTAGTATCGTAATAGAAAGCCTACTTTGGCGGAGGATGTCCCACGGTTAGCGTCTCGTAAACAGAAATGATGAAGCGTGTTCGAATCCTGGTCGAGTTCGTTACGTTATTTGAGCGCAAATACTCTTGGGAAAAGTACAAATAAATTTCTTATCTCCTCGCAGGGTAGATTGGGCTCTCTAACTATGAAAAATAATTTACTGGCTTAATAATGATACTTTGAATTCATATGAATAAATTAAATTTATCTTATCAAAAGCGGAATCGTTCTTTTATGATGAAATACACACTTCAGCTGAAAGATGGCGTCATCGTCGTTGTCGTCGGCATCCGTCCGTCTCGAAATTACGAAGGAGTAGGGTTGCCCGGACGTCTAGTTCCCCCTCTCGGCTTTGCTAGCAGAGTCCAAAGGAGAGGATAAACCAATACAGTTTGGTACCAACGCGACTGCAGGAGTTGCCGGAAGGTTGCACAAAGTGCCGTCCATCCGCCTTAGGGGATCCACTCCGGGTTTGAATTCAGAGTTGTCATTCTCCTAGACCAGTTGCCATTCAAGGCTATAGAACCCAGTCTGTCCTGCTATTTACCCATAGCTGGAGGGAGAAGAAGAGGATTCACACCTTTCCCAAGGGTATTAACACGTAAGTGAATGTAATGAATTCGACCGGAATTTGAACTCGGCTCTCCGATTCCTCAATCCAAGCCGCTATCCATTACTCCACCGTGCGTGAAAGATGGCGTACTATCATATAAAGCCAGGGAAAGTTTTAAAGACTAGATAATGATTCTTTGAATTCATATGAATACAGTGGTTCATCAAATCAAAACCGGAGTCGTTCTTTTATGATGGAGTACACACTTTAGATGAAAGGAGTCGTAAAGTTGCTAAAAGCCAGAGAAAATAATTTGATATCTGAATAATGATCCTTTGAATTAATATGAATAAAATAAGTCACCAAATCAAAACTGGAATCATTCTTTTATGATGGAATACACACTTCAACTGAAATATGGCGTAAGATCATATAAAGCTATCGAAAGTAATTTGATGGTTAAATAATGATTTATATGAATACAGTGGTTCATCAAATCAAAACCGGAATCGTTCTTTTATGATGGAATGCACATTTTAGATGAAAGATGGCGTAAGACGGTAGAACGCAGTGAAAATAATTTTATGAATTAATTGTTCATTATTTACATTATTCAGGCTATTGTCTTCATCTTTGTCACCATATTTATTACAACGTTTCGGCCGTTGTACGCTCCGGCCTTCTTCAGGTAGTTGGAATGTCGAACTGAACCCTTTATTTCGCTCACTGGGGTAGACTGTTCTAGCTCCACTTGCCATGTTTAATGGATGTCAGTTGTCAGTTATCTCCTGTTAATTCCCCTCTCCAAGTTCTCCACTGCTTTAACTGGGTATTGAACTCACACCCTTTTGGGTCCTGTCACTGAATCTAACTAACGTCTTTATCCACTGTGCCACTGTGTTAAGGTCAGTAACTTAAAGATGAAATTTATAATGAATTTAGAAAGATGATCGATATCGAAAAAAATTAGCCACATTTATTGTAGTAAAAATGAAATAAAAATACAGCAGGAAATATCTATTTTTCAGCCGTTCTTTCTTTATTTCTTTCTTTCTTTCTTTCTCTTCCAACTTGCTTTTCTTTCTTTTTTCTTTCTTTCTCTTCCAACTTGCTTTTCTTTCTTTTTTTCTTTCTTTCACTTCCAACTTTTCTTTCTTTTTTTTCTTTCTTTCTCTTCCAACATTTCTTTCTTTCTTTCTGTCTTTCTTTTCTAACTTTTCTTTCTTTCTTTCCAACTTTTCTTTCTTTCTTTCTTTCTTTCTTTCTTTCTTTCTTTCTTTCTTTCTTTCTTTCCTAACTTTTCTTTCTTTTCCAACTTTTCTTTCTATCTTTCTTTCTTTCTTTTCCAACTTTTCTTTCTTTTTTCTTTCTTTCTTTTTTCTTTCTTTCTTTTTCTCGGTTCCCTTCTTATTCTTTGTTTTATTTGTCTTTCTTTTTATTCTTTCTTTATTTCTTTGTCCGTTTTCCTTCTATTTCTTTCTTTTTTCTTTTACTTTTTTCTTTATTTCTCTTCTTCCTTCCTTTTCTTTCTTTCTTTCTTTTTTTTTTTTCTTTGTTTATTTGTTTCTTTGTTTCTTTCTTACTTTCTTTTTCTTCTCGCAATTTTCTTTTTCTTTCTTTTTTCTTTATTTCTGTTACACATTCCTTTTCTTTCTTTCTTTTTTTTTTTTTTTGTTTATTTGTTTGTTTGTTTCTTTCTTTCTTACTTTCTTTTTCTTCTCGCAATTTTCTTTCTTTTTCTTTATTTTTGTTACTCATTCTTTTTCTTTCTTTCTTTTTTTCTTTCTTTCTTTCTTTCTTTCTTTCTATTCCTGCTTTCTTTCTTCCTTTCTTATCTCACAGTTTTATTTCTTTTTCTGTCTTTCTTGTTATTTGTGTGTTTATTTGTTTGTTTGTTTGTTTGTTTTTTCTTTCTTTCTCCAAATTTTCTTTCTTTCTTCTTTCTTTCTTCTTGTTCTTTCTTCTTTAATTAAAAATAAATTTTGTAATCGACTCTCCCAGTTTTAGCAAGATTATTCAGCGAGCAAGAATTGACGTCATCCTTAGGCTGTACTCGTCCAAACTTAGTTGCAGATCGCTTCATGTCGATTGGTTTCGACAGAAATAATAATTTGCTTGTCTCTTTGACACTTTCGAACATGTTACTTGATTCGGCTGATACATGAATCGGATGCAATAATCGAAAGTGAACCATGAAAAATTGTCTGATTTTATTTCAAACAAGGAAGTTACCAATCAGAGATGTCATGGCGTTCCATATCGTCTGCTTCTCTGTTTCTGAAAACATAAATGAGAAAAGTAAAAATTATTCGAATGACGAATATAATTTTCAGTAGACACACACACACACACATATATATATATATATATAAATAGTCATTAGTAAAATTAAATATTCCCTTGTCTCTACTATAATATTTCTTTTTATAACCCATGTCCTTTCAGGACGTAGGCGATCATGTCTCTCCATCTCTTTCTATCCCTTGCAACTCTAAGCAAATTCATTCCCTCTACTCCCTCCCTCAGATCACGTTCTGGGGGTAAAATTTACGAAGATTATATCCGCTCTCGATATCGAACACAGTAACCCAAATTTTGTTTATATATATATATATATATATATATATATATATATATATATATATTGATGCATGTTTCATTAAATAATATAGACAAGTGTTGTCTATCTATTTTTATGTCTATATTATTTAATGAAACATGCATCACTGAAAAAATGCTGCCTAAATACACACACACACACACATATATATATATATATATATATATATATATATATATATATATATATATATATATATATATATATATATATATATATATATGTATGTATGTATAAAGTCTTTGCCACTGTCTGTTTGTTATCGAACTGTTCCTAGGATTTTGGAGATAGACCCCAATAACCACATATTTTCCGAAACTACATTATCAAGGATACTTGGATGAGTATATTTCGATCAAAGAGGGTCCCCGACAGAATTTTTTTCCCTTTGATATAAATTAAATTTAAATTTGAACGAGGGAATGACACCTAGAGTACCTCGATAAGCGTGTTTCAATTCGATGAAAGGTGGTAAACACCCTACTGAAAATTATTTTCCCTTCGATTTAAAGTAAATTTAAATTTGAACAAGGAATAGCCTCCTATCCAAAATATAGAAGGATAAAGTCAGAAGATGGCGGTTACATTGGCAAGATCAAAATGAGACAATATGGATATCAAGTTGATCAAGATATCAGTGGATAGTGCCTTACACTACATATTTGTTGTGACAATTCAATTGCCATATCAATGTTGAAATCTGCTCATCAATTTATCCAATTAAGAATTGCATCAGCTATATATCAAAGGGGTTAGATCAAGCTGTTTTTGCACAAAGACCCAACTGAAAATTTTTTCCCTTTGATTTAAATAAAGTTTAAATTTGAACCAAATTTAAATTTGAGCCCTACCCAAAATATAGACGGAGAAATCCAGAAGATGGAGGTCACATCGGAAAGATAATTGAGTAATAATGAAATGCATCATATTTCTCCACAAATTATAACAATGATCAATGATAACAAAGTCAATCATCATTTTCTTACAAAAAATGCGTGAAACACAGCAATGCGCGGGGTAATTCAGATAATATATATATATATATATATATATATATATATATATATATATATATATATATATATATATATATATATAGTTAAACCAGAGCTGACTCTCTAGGTTTAACAAGGTCTGCTCTACTTAACGTATTGAACACTTTATTTAGTTATTTTGCTTAGTCGTATCGGGCTTTTTTTTCTTTGGTCTCTAGACTTGGATGCTAGACGATTATTATCGGCTGACGTCCATGTTCTTTGTTCTTTCTTTTTTTTTTATACCTTTTTTCCCTTTGATATTGGTTTGATTATTTGCAAATCAAGACACCGAAGGTTTTCCGGACGACTATAATTTCTTATACTTATAAGATTAGATTATTACTAGTATATATATATATATATATATATATAATTCGGCTAATATATATATATATATCCTAGCCGAATTACCCGTGCATTGCTGCGTGTCATACATATTTTTTGTAAGAAAATGATGATTGATTTTAATTCGGTATATATATATATATACACTTGATTTTAATTCGGTATATATATATATATATATATATATATATATATATATATATTAAATATATATTATATTTAAACGGTTAGAAACAAAAAAAGCGTATTAAAGGCATTAAAAACTAGAAATGTTGTATTGCAGGCCATGATAAGTTTAAAATAAAACACACACCAGTCGACCGGTTTCGTCCCCTCTCGTCAGAACTGTTAACGGGGAATTTAGATTATGAGGAAAAAAGAAAAAAGAAAAAAGTCTGTCATGGGTGACATGAATGAATGGACAGGGAAGGAAGGAAAGATAAAATTATACCAACCAAGCTGCTAGAAGCTAGGGTCTTCGATTGCGGATCATTTTATAAAGAATCCAACTTGTGCGATGGATTTCAGTGTGAACTGGTTTTCCGTCTTGGCCAGTTCGCACTCACTTTTCCATCTCAAGGTGTTGGAATCGCTTTACATCAGGTCCAAGCGGCCTTCTCTTTGCAAACAAAGAGATTGTTTGCTTGGACTTGCTGTTCTGCGCTTCTAGCAGCTTGGTTGGTATAATTTTATCTTTCCTTCCTTCCCTGTCCATTCATTCATGTCACCCATGACAGACTTTTTTTCTTTTTTTCTTTTTTTTTCATAATCTAAATTCCCCGTTAACAGTTCTGACGAGAGGGACGAAACCGGTCGACTGGTGTGTGTTTTATTTTAAACTTATCATGGCCTGCAATACAACATTTCTAGTTTTAATGCCTTTATATATATATATATATATATATATATATATATATATATATATATATATATATATATATATATATATATATATATATATATACACTTTATACTAGCCGAATTATGATTGATTTTAAATCACAGGGTATCCATAAAGTCTCTTTACAATTTAAAAAATATATTCCAAATGTAATTGATGAGTTATCTTAATCAGATTTGTTCTATCTATTCAGTCGTTATCAAATTTTTTTTAATCACACCGCATTTGTGTATTTCAGGTATCCTGTTGATGAAAGATGTACTATTAACTGAACCCCTAAAAAATGGCTACTACCTAAGATAATGCACAATGTCTGTTTTGTTTTATTGAAACAAAATCGGATTCGCAGACCCACCGAGTTCCACCGTCACTTCCGTCAATTCGTGTATGGCATAAGATATTTAGAGAGACAATGACGAGCAAGAATTTCTGAGGGAGACATTGATCGTGTAAGACAAGTCTTTCAGCGTTCTCCTATAAAGTCCATCCGTATTAGTGGCAGACATTTACACCTGCCACGTTCAAAGGTACAAAAAGCCCTACACAAGAACTTGCGATTGTACCCTTACAAAATGCAGAGTGCAATTCTTACAGGCACTCGAGGCAAATGATAAACTATTGGTGAAGCTATGCAACAGCCAACATGGCAAGAGATCCAGTACTCTTTTGATGTCCTGCGTGTAGCTAATGGTCCTCATACAGAAGTATATTAAATTAATTTAAAAAAACATTCATAATCTACTTATTTTTGCAACAATTTCCCCGTATTTGTCTTTTTTTTTAGTGTTATGATGCCTTTCTCGGTGCCATTCAAGATTTAATAAAATTTTGTAGTTTTTATTTTTTAAAAATATTTTTTGAAAATATTTACACCTTCTTAATTTAAAAAAAAATATTTAGGCATTTCAATAACTTAGTTACCTCCCTTGACGTTTTCACATGTGACTACATGATAAAATTTAAAAATTGTATAGTACATTAGCTTAGCGTTTTTAGCTTCACACTTAATTTTCAGATGAACACAACAATTTTGTCTTAGAAAAATGATGAACACAACAATGTTTTGTCTTAGAAAAAACTAGACTCTGATGATGACATTGTGCTAATGTCGAAAGTACTCGGAATAAAATGAATATGCATCAACATGGTAATTTTCTTTCTTTCTTTAAGAAGGATACTAAGAAACTTGTCCTTAATTACGTGAGGATCCTATTTAAAATAGACAAAAGTTGTCTGAATTATTTAATCACACACACAAGATATATATATATATATAATTTATTTGTTTAAACGTTATTTTAAATGGATACTCAAATTTGAGTAGATGCTCTATTTTTAATTTATTTATTAAATAATATGTATACTTTTTTACATCCAGCGGTCTGGTGGTTTGGTTTATTTTGTTTTACGGCATATCAACCTCAATGGGCTATTTAATGCCGACAGTTTTTTTTATTGCTGGTAATGTTTTGTTTTGTCAAATATGGTAATATTCTTCCTTCAAAATTGTATTGCTGTTAATAATTTTTTCAAAAAGTATTGCTGGTAATAGTTAACTATTTGCCCATAGCTAGGACCCCAACAGGTGCTACCACCCCGTATCAGGGTGGACCTGGGAACACCAGCAATTAAGAGGTGGTTCCACACTCCTCAAAACCTCCTGATCAGAGGCCTTGCTGCTGGACGTAGTTTATCGTCTTACCCAGGACGCGTATGTAGTTTAACATCTTACACAGGACGACCACCGATCTGAATATTGAAGAAAGCTTGTTAGAAAAATGCGTTCATGCAATATTTTCTTTAAACTACTTGAGGTTTCTCCAATTTATACATTCTTGCAATCCATACATTTGATAGAGTAAGTTACTCTTTCAAGCTTGTTGTCTTATTTTTATTGATTATATATAGGCCACACTACAACATGTTTAACAAGAAGAC